TAGGCAGTCTTTTTCTAACTTCTACTGAACCACCTGTATTTTTAAAACTCAGGGGGGTTAACTATCAATCAAGAATACAAAAAACCCTTCGGATTATGCAGGATTTTAAAAATAATTAAAATTTGCTGCTTCAGATTAAAAAAAACCTATGTTGAGCAATAATATAATAATTTTTAATGGCACTTTATTATAGCATATAAAATGGCTATGCTTCCAATATTATGGTCATTTTTTAAGAACACTATCAGTATCATATACTAGTAAAAGATGCCTACCCTTTCCTTTCATCCACTTAAATATACCAAAAGGACTGCAATACTTTTAGCTTTGTTTTGGCAACTCCTATATTTGTCACACAGGTAGCAAAAAATTTCTTGGCTTCTAGCAAAATGATGCAGTACACTGTAACAGTGAATGTTTTCTGTAGCATGAATCAAGGATTTTACAAGTGGTAGTTCTTAGGATATTTCTAGGTATTTATTATACATTGGTTGCTCCTAAATGTTCAAATTCAATGCCATCTTTTTTTGCACCATCATGAATGTTCTCTACAATTCCAGATGAAGGGAGGCAGGGTGATGGTGGGCTTACCTTCTGCAAGAACTTACAGACACGGTTCTGCTATTCGAAATTCACTGGGCTTGGTGTTGCTGGAGACCCTGCTGGCCTGTTTGGACTAACACTGCGTGAATTAGAGGGTCAGTATCCTTTGAGCATACATTTGTAACACTGGAAAGTGAGGTCCAGAAAAAGAAAACGAGTGTGCCAGCACGTATCATGTTACTCATTTTCTTCTTACAACTTAGACTTAGGCAAAATCCTAGGTAAAACAAAATCTAAAGACCCAAGTGCTTTGTGGGATAAATTACATGTATTTAGACAGTGGTTTCTTTACCAGATTTATCTTTTAACTGTTAGGACCTATAAATATGACATCTGAGTCACTTGGCTATAGTCACCATTAGGCAATCTAGTAAATGAAGAGAAAGGAAGAGAAGGATAGAAAAGGGAAGGAGGTAAAGAGATAGGTAATAGGAAATCATAACAAAATAATTATATTAATTGTTAGGTGTTATGGAACATATCTGTAACCCCAGCACTCAGGAGGCTGAAGCAGAAGTATTCCAAGTTCAAAGCTAACCTGGACTATATAGTTGTCCCTTGCTATATCACGGTTCACTTATTGCAGCTTCACTGTATCACAGTTTGTTGTTGTTGTTTTTTTAAAAAGTTCTGTAATCTAATTCTAATGCAATTCTAATTCTGCATCACCGAATTTTTGCTATATTGCAGGATTTTGAGGTAGAAAAGTATTCATATGGAACATGGGAAATGTTTGTAAGAGTATGGGAAAGGTTAATAAGAGAGTGGGAAAGGTCTATAGGGGAGTGGGAATGGGTTTATAAAGCCTTTATACAAATAATAAAATAAATATAAAGCTGCTACTTTGTGGATTTTCACCTGGGGCAGGGGTCTGGAGCATAACTCCTATACTAGGTGAGGGATCATTGTACAGTGAAACCTTGTATCAAAACATAAATAAAAAATGCATCTATTCACCACAAATTTGAGAACATATGGTACAGTGTCAACACGGATATAACAGTGGAAAGGAAAAAACCTTGCCTTCACAGACTTATCCTCTAGTACAGAAAGACAGGTAATACTAAAGTTAAAACACATCACAAAGCAGTAGACCTAAGTGCCGTGGAGGAAAGAAAGCAGGAAAAGAGGCATCAGGGAATACTAGACAGGAGTATTCTAGAGAATGCCTCACAAACAACTCTGCACAGAAAGAACAGCAAATGCAAAGGCTGAGGGAGAACGTGCCTAGCAGTTTGATGGAAGAATGGAGAAGTCAATGGGTTTAAATGCCTTAAGATTCTTCGACTTTGGGGGATAGGGGGACAAAATATGTCACCAACACAGTCACATTTTCATGCCCTCCTAGAGGTACCTGCCTCTGGAAATGCTTACTCAAAGCCCTCAATCTTACTAAGGAAGAAATGAGGAAGAGGACACTAAATGAGTAATCTAAGATCACAGAACCAACAAACAGCTGAGACAGGCCTGGGCCTCTGATTCCTAAACTCAGCATAATGATATTCCTCATGCCTACACTTTATAATAAAAAGGAACTTTTCTTCTTTCAAAAAGTGAACCCACAACAATAAGTCAGCTAAGGTCATCTAAATTCTTTGAGTATGACAAATCAGTTTTCACCTTTTCATTCAACGGGTGGTGAAGGAGTTTATTATCACCCTGAATATTTGCTGAAGGTACAAAATAGTAAAAAAAAAAAAAAAAAACCAACACTACCAAAACCTCACTACCCAGTAACAAATGACCTAAGCGTGTAACAGAAACTTATTCTCAAGGAAGCCTGCCTCAAAATATGTGCTACACTACTGTTATAGTTTAAAATATGAGCTACATACACTACTGCTTGTTAATAGTGTAAAAAAATGGAAGCAGACTGTCCCTCTGCCAAAAAAAAAATTCCAGTAACAATAAAAAAATGGAAACACTAATTATTCTCTTGGCAAGGGAATAGGATACTATAATTTATTCACACACTAAAATATTCTGTAGTAGTTAAAAGTGAATATTTACATAAACCTCAAAAACTGAAGTGAAAAATCTAAATGCAAAGCTGTAGGTGTATAGCATCACACCATGTGTAAAATGTTAAACATTGAGGATGTTAGTGACTCATGCTTATATAATCCTAGTTACTCAGGGGGCAGAGATCTGAGGATCCTAATTCAAAGCCAAATGGGGCAGAAAAGTCGGAGAGATTCTGTCTCCAATTAAATAGCCAAAAACTTAGAGTGGAGTTGTGGTTCAAGTACTAGAGTGCCAATTATGAGTGAAAAAGCCTGAGTTCTCATTTGAGGTCTTGAATTCAAGACCAAAAACCAACCAACAAATGAATAAATATTGTTCAACACAAAGTTGTGGATTTAATACACAAAATTACCACAACATGCTTGGGAACTAACTATATGTCTTAACTCTACATTAGGTGTTACCTGAAACTGGAGACCAAGAAGGTAGAGAAAAATCCTTTAAAGCCCAGTGTACCTTTATAGAGAGTGTACATGAATGAAGGATGGACATATTAACAACTCTTCAACCTAGATCATGGAAAAACTAAATGAATGACTTACTATATTTCTGTTATTTTTTAAAAATATTTTATAATCAGAAGTGGTGTTGTAGTTCAAGTGGTAGAGCGCTGGCCTTGAGCTGAAGAGTTCAGGGACAGAGACCAAACCCAGAGTTCAAGCCCCACAACTGACAAAGATAGATAGATAGATAGATAGATAGATAGATAGATAGATAGATAGATAGATAGATAGATAGATAGATAGATAGATGGATAGATAGATATCATCATTATTTTTAGTTTTGGAACAAAGCTAGAGAGACAAAAAGACAAAAGATCTCCACCACATTCTTTCAACTTTTAAACTCAATTTTTCTTAACTTCCAAATCTGTTTCTCTGCCTTTTTATTTGGGGGGGGGGGGGGGAGGAAGCACCTGCTTACCAGGTTGGATGCCCTGAGTTTGCTTCCCATGGATAGGGGGAGGGGGAGGGGGTGTTGGTGAACCTGCTTCTAAGTTGACAAAAAAGTCAGACCTCACTTCCCCAGAAATGAATCCAGAAATGCTGCATCCATTCTTACTCGGTTCCAATTAATAGTACCAAGGCTTTTCAACTGGGTTCTAACCACCATCACTGCGCTCAGAAGTCAGGAAATGAAGCTAAGGAGGGTAAATTCTACAATTAACTCATTTAAGAACGCCTGTCATCCTGAAGTTGAGGCCAGTCCAATGTGAGATACTCTCTCCCATCCTGTAAACAAGCACCGCTAATTCACGTGTTAAGAACAGGATTTGATTCCTGATAAAAAGTGACTACCTTTCAAACTCAGAGGAGGGGAAAACATCTGTCATCATTAAGAAAAGCCTACCAGATTACATCCACCAGTAATAAAAGCCTCCAGGCACACGAGTGAACAGGGCCCAGTGGGGCCCGTGAACAAAGCAATCAAAATCTAGCCTCCTTGGAGTCTAGGTCTCTTCCAACCCTTCCAACCTCCCCGAGGTGAGCCTCCCCACAAACGAAAACTTCTGCAAACCTCCTACAAAAGGACAAAAACGGTTCCTCCCTCTCCCTCTCCCTCTCTCTCTCTCCAGGGCCCCGGTGGCCTTGAGATCACTCCCCCGAGATGGAGCCCTGTCTCCAGGGGCGAGCGGTTCCAGGGAGTCCCGCCGCAAGCCGGGGGGAGCCCTCGGGGGAAGGGAGGCCGCAGATCCGAGGTGAGCGGCCTCCCCGAGCGCCGCTGCAGACTTGGCGCACTCATCCTTGGGAAGAAAGTTGCGCTGAGCTGGCTCCTTGGCAGAGAAAAGAAAAGGGAGCCTGGATCTACGGCCCACGGCCGAGCCCCTGCGAGGCCACCTTGGCCTCTTCCCGCACAGGGGAGGAGGGGCTCCATCTGCCTTAAACTCCCCCCGCCCCGTCCCCGCCTTTCCAGGCACTACCTTCTCCCTCGCCCCCAGAAGTGGAGGGAGAGAAGCCCGTGGGGCGGTAGCAGATGAGCCCCGGGAAGCGCAGATTCTGAAGTGCGTTCACCAACCTGCCCGGGGCCGGTGGGGTGCGGGCCACCGGGACGCCCGCCCGCCCTCCCGCAGCGGGGCCGCGCGGGGAGGCGGGCGGGCGCCCCCACATCCTCCCACCTCTCCGAGGGGGGACCCCGAGGCCGCGGCGCGCGAGGAGCGCTTTCGCCGGCGCCCCCCGGGGCCGGCCAGGAACAATAGCGGGCCCGGGGTCCCCAGGACCACCGGTGTCTCTCCCGCGGCACCTCCGTCCCCGACCCTCCAAGTTGGGCAAGGGAGTCGGGCTCAAGCCCAGGAGGGCGGCGGGCAGGGCGAAGCAGGTGGGATGGGGTGCTGACTCCGGGGGCGCACCCCCACACGTCCTCCCGGGGTCTGCTCATTCATTCCCACCCGAGCTCCCGCCCTTCTTCCCGGGCCGGCTGAGGGAAGAGAACTTGGCCGGCCGGGATCGCCGCCTCTTTCCCCTAACTCTGTCCCGGGCGGGCGGCCGGAGCGCGGCGGGAGTCCGCGCAGCCCCGCGCAGCCGCTCCGCGCGGGAGCCCCGCGCTCCAGACACAAAGGCGGAGACGCGAGCCGGGACCCCCGCGCGCGGAGACCCCCAACTCGGCGCCGCGCACCTACCCCATCGAGACGGCGGCGGCTCCCGGGCCCCGCTGGCGGCTCCTCCCCGCCCGCTGCTTCCCCAGGAAAGCGCGGCCGCCGGGCTCGCTTCCTGCTCGGCTTCCTGCGCCGCTCCGCGCCGCGCCGCGCCGCGCACCCGCCTCCTCCCCGCCGCGGGGGTCAGTGGGCGCCGCCGCGGCTCCCGGGCTGAGCCGGCGGGGCGGGGGGCGGGGGCAGCACCACCACGTGGCCGCCGGACGCCGGCCCCCCGCCGCCCGGGATCCCGCGGGAGCGGGAAGGGAGGTGCCAGCCTTTCCCCTCCCCTTCCACCCCGCGCGGCCCCAAAATTCCGCGGGTCGGGTGACCCCGCCCCGCGCTCCGGCCGGGACTCGCGGGAGCCGCCGCTGCCCCCCCACACCCGGCCCGGCCCCGCGCCGCGGCGGCCTGCTCGTAGTTCCCGCGGGTCGTGGGACTCTTCCCCCCCCTCCCACCATCCCATGTCCGGCATCTTCATCATCTTAACCTGAACTTAGTGGGAAACACCGCGCTCGACCCTGCGGGTCGGATGGGATCGCAGATAGGACTGGTTCCCGGACAGCTTGCGAAAGTCGGCCGGGAAGTTGTGGTCGGCCAGAGCGGGGAGAGGCGGCCCGAGTCGCCGATCCGGGCCAAGCCCCTTCTCGCCGGAACCGAACTGGTTCCGAGTTTCCAGAACTGCTGAACAGAAAGTGAACTGGAAAGCGCCCCCCACCCCACCCCGCACCGAAGCCTGGGGTCGCAGTGACTCGGCTCCCAGCACCCATCAGGTGGCCCGACAAAAAGACCAGCCTCAGGGTTGCTCTGCCCAGGAGTCAGAAGCGAGACTGGAACGGAAAGGCTGGACTGGGAGGGGGGACGCCCTCCGAGCGGATTCTGGGGTGCAGACCGGCCCTCCACGAGTGTCCCCTCCTTCCCCTGGCCCCTAGGACAGCCCTTTGGGGGTCGTGGAGGATTTCAACGCTCGACGCCTTCCCCTTTCATTGGAATTCTAGCTCAGACAGAAAGGTTTATGCACCCAACCTCTTCCCTTCTGGCTAGACGCAGAAAGCTTTTCTTTGCACAGCTTTCTAGAATAAACAGGTGGAATGACTTTTGCTGGGCTTTGCGGTAAGAAGTCAGCTGAACATGCACACAGCCAATTCCGACGAGTGAATCCACGCTAACAGAAACCAGGTTATGCCATCCTACAGAAAGTCGCTGGTCATGGCTGGGCAATGTCTTAACATTGGTCAGACTCTCTCTGGTCCTCCTGCCCCAGCCTCTCATAGGAACAGCCTGTCTTAAGCTTTCAATTGCACTTCCTAATACCCTAAATCAAAAGATTGTTCTCCCAAGTGGTGAACAGCCACTGGAATGCTAGATGGACTACTCCCCTACCTGCCCCTTTTCCCAGCTCAAATGAAATCACTCTCTAAAAGAAATATGACCTAGTAAATGCTTCTTTTTTGTTTAATGCTGGTTATTTACAACATTATTTTCAACATGCTTAACACTGAGGTACTGCAGGTTATTTCAGTACCTTACTATGCTGAATAGATATAAAAAAATTCCCACGGGGGAATTTTCTGCCTTTAGCATTTCATTCTTGCTTAAGCAGGAACAGGTGGGAACATAAAATCTGAAGCATGATTCAGGGTATCTGATGGTGCCTTAGAAATGTTAAAAGTGCATATTCTATACAAACAGTTTACAAGCCCTTTTTTTTGGGGGGGGGGGAATGTTTGTTTGGAACAGGGCATTGAATCCAAGACCTCTAGAATGCTAGGCAAGCATTCTACTATGAACCACATCCCCAACCATTTGGTTTGTAGTTCGTTTGTAAGTCAGAGTCTCCCAACGTTTTTCCTTTTTTGAGTGATGTTCCTGCCTCCACCTGCTAAATGGCTGGAATTACAGGTGTGCATCACCATGCCTAAACAGGAGTTAAACTACTACATAACATTAAACAATGCTTGTCTAAGGCAGGCAAATCAGCCACTGATTCCTTGAATCCTTGACTCTCATCTATTTACTCTGTCCCAAAGACTGCTGAAGAGTCTGTTAGGTCCCATCAGTGGCTTGGGTGTTATTCTCATTAGTTCATAACCCCATCTTCTGGCATCAACAAGCGTGTCATGGTGAGGGATTGTGGTAGAGGGATGGTCTCTTGGTAGTTGGTTGTGATAAGATCCTTTCACAGATTCCTCCTTTGGAAATTCACATTCAACTTCCCACTGTATGGAGTCTTTACTGCCTTGCTGAAGCTTTCCATCCTGCATAAAGATTCTTGATTAAGCAGGTCCTCTCATTGGTCGTTTTGCTCAGTCCTTTTAGAAATGCTAACTGGGTTCTGGATATGTCCTTAAATACAGACCAAGACCAGGTGAAAAGGTTTAAGAGAAGGCAACACAAAATGAAATGACCACCTACAATCTTTGAGGTGTATTCATCTTTTAGGTAGAACAGCTTGCGTATTCCTTTCTCCAAAGCAAAGAAACCGTAGTGTAATATGTATTACATTGAATACTAACAGCAAGACCAGATGATTTGAGCATTTATGTTACTTACTTTTCAAATTCACCAAGTGTTTTCAGCTCTACTGGTTCCTAATCAGGAAAAGGAGTATCACACTATATAGTCTCTGAGAGATTTGTGGGTTCTAATATCCTAAGCCCAATCTTAGCCTTTACAAGCAAGGTTCCATTGTCCTTTGGTTATGGCCACTGTCCTCTGGTTATTCTAGTGCCTCAATTTGGCCACACCAATCTAACTGTAAACTCCAAAGAAGGTTGCTTTCGCTATGAAAATAGAACAATGAAATCTGCTGAAGGGAAGGGAGAGTGATAGAGGGTGGCAGGGGGGTAAGATGGCCTGAAATGCATTAGAAACCTGTAGAAGTCTCATACTAAAGTCCTTCACGCCCCCATATAACTAATATAAACTAACAAAAAGAATGAAGGGGGAGGAGAAAGATGGTTGCTCTCCAAGACTCAGCAGGATTCTGTAAGTGAAATTCACCAACTGGGGGGTGGGGGTGGGGCTCAATGTTTTATTTGTGAAATTGAGTGATAAACATCCCTTACCCAATCTCTCATCCACATAAGATTAGGGTAGCCAAGGACAGCCCCAAAGAAGGAAATATAAATATCACACCAGAACCAACACATGCCCTTCAATGTATTTTGTGTTTGGATAGTTCTATAGTTGGGATTTGGAATATCTCAAGCAGCTCATGGAATAAAGGTTTGGTTCTCAGGGTAGTTCTATGGAGAGGTGGTGAAGCTTTCAAGAGGTCAAGCCTAGAAGGTATTTAAGAACAACAGTGTATACCTCTGACCTCCACCACCCCCCCACCCCCATCTAGTCTCTTCTTTAGCTTTGTTTCTTGGCCATGAAGTAAACAGCTTTTCTCTGCCATGAGGACCCAGCAGGATGTACTGGATCACCCCAGGCCCAAAAACAACAGGCCAATTGATCATGGTTTTTTGTTGTTGTTGTTGTTGTTGGTTGATTTGGTTTTGGAAGTACTAGAGTTTAAGCTGAGGGCCTTGAGCTTGACTTACCATGATTTAGAAGAATAAGAAGCTATTAGACTCAGTCCAGAAAATGGGAGACAAACAATACAATCAGAAAGTTGCAGATGGTAGTCTACACACACACACACACACACACACACACACACACACACACAGGTCCAAATACAGAAAAAGAACAAACAACATTTTTTGTATTTTCCAAGGGATGTTTCCCAGTAGAAGGAAATTAACACAGGAACAAAAATAGCTTTTGCATTGCTTTCTACAAGTTAGCATTCGCCATAGCTGTGAATCAGCTGTAAACACTAATTAGCCCATGGTTTTCCCACTTGCCAAGAAGCCAGCAAAGATTTTCCAGTGTAAGTTACAATATACTTTCCATCCAAGCAAAGTTGCACACCTGCTCAGGTGATAAAACTAAAGTGTTTGCAATAAATATATCCCAAACACCTGGATCAGTACCCTGCTTGAAGGAGGCAGCTTTTGAAAACAAGCATCTCAATAAACATTGATATTGCAGATCTGAAAAGGCCTTGAGACTGGCTTGTCATCACCCATAAGCAATGCAAGTGCTCTGAGCTATGCCATCAGTATGACAGCTGCAAACTGCAATGGCTAATGGGTACTGACATTTCCCTAGCAGTGCAAAACAGTGAAAAGTTACTAGAAGATTGAAAAACTGTCAGGAGATTACATTGTATTTCCATTGGGTAATACTGCCAAAGGAGCTAATGCCATATTCAGTTTATACTATATTACTCTGTACCAGTCACCTTCCTAAGTGATAAATACTTAATTTTGGAGATTTAAATCTGAGATACAAGTAACCATCACAGTGACAAGTTGCATGGTCTACTGTGTATGTCAGAAATTTCAAAACATCTTCTCTGATGTAGTCAATAGAGAGTTGTGTGGCATTCACACCCAGACAATAACTTGGCTATCAAATGACTTAAGAAGGACTTTCATGATGCTCCAGAGATATGGAATCAGTACTGATGCAAACACGTGAGAACAACAGGCAGGTGTGGCTTGTCTTGCTCCCTATGCAGTGGTTTGCAATGCTTTACAATCCCAGCAGTCCATTAGAACAAGCTTCTAAATATGCTAAGTGTCTGAGCCGTGTGCTTAGCCTGGGGATGATAATGTTTAAAATGGTCCAATGGGGTCCAAACATCAGGGGCTGCTGGGTCATTGGCTGTTCTCTCTAGACTCAGAGCTGGCTCTAAGCCTTGCAGAATGAAATTAGGTTACAAGGGCTGGGTGCTTCTTGTGATGGGTCTTGCAAAAGCTGATGCTCCAGAAAGATTGCTTGTGTTCTTCAATGAGATCGACTTCTGCTTCTGAGATACTTTAATTTGTGTTCTTTCCTTATCCAATTACTACGCCCATAGTAAATCTGTATACTACTTGGATTATGAATTCTCCGGAATGTGTTCATGACTTGCTTGGGGTTCTTAAAGGCTCTGTAACCAATTGATTCTGTTATTGTCATGGATATTTTCCATTTTTTTTTGTGCTCAAAAATCCTTAGTAGAATCTACATGAAGTAGATTGCTTGTTGCTTTCAGAATTGATCTTTGTACTGTGTAAGGAAACATTTTTTGAGACATCTTTCCAGAGCAGATTGTGAGTGCTTAAGATATTTAACTGAACTGCTGTGCAGATATTTAACAAAATTCCACACATTGCTTTCATTTGTTTTGCCTTCATGTGAATTCCTCTGCACCTCTAGCAGGTTTCTACCATTCAGAATGAGGATTCTTCTGTTAAAATGTTTCTTTCCTCCCTTTCAAAGAGTCCTGTCATTTCTAGTTCTAGACTTTCCCTTTTGAGTTTCAGAATAAGATACAAACCATGAATATGTTTCTGTCTACTGAGCACCTAGAGTTCAAGTCTAAAATCCTAGCTATTCAGGAGGCTGAGGTCTGAGGATAGTGCTTGGAAGCCAGCCAGGGCAGAA